AATCTGACCCACAGCGCGTATTCAGCAGCACCACTTGCTCCTAAACCGTCATCGCTCCGCAACACATGTCTTGACTTTTAATTTTTTATTCTTCGGATAATCACAGTTTTTGCATGCCTCTCAACATGAGAGTCTCTGAAGTATTCCTTGTAATCTTCTAAGCAGTAGTACAGTATAGAGTACATTTTTAGTCTTGTTATTATGATAAACCGTGGATGGGTGCCGGTGTCACAAATATCACCGAGCAGTCGCCAGAGTTCCCAGATCAAAGGAGAGGTAACTTTCGATGCCATCGTCAGGAAGAGTGAAGCGGTAATAATGAGTTACAAATTCCATCTACACGACAGTGGCAAGGAGTAAGTAGTGAAAGTTCAGCGTCCACAATTCATGAGTGCAAACGTACCGCAGAAAGGAACATGGTTTTATAAAGATTTTGATCAAATGGCGAAACAGTACAATACTGCTCCTATATATCTCGAAGCAGTTTATGGTTAGTTTATTTAGCTGTCATCAAGTTTTCTTACTACAGTCTATGTCGATCAACAAAAAGAGCAATATACGCATGACACGTTCTGCTTCCATGCTTTTTCTTTTCCTTCTTGCGTTTGCTCAGACGCTCGTTATTTCCCTATGAAATCGGCTTTGGTGATTATTGCTGACTTAAATCCCTAAGCAATTGATTGGATCGCTGGTTTAAAAAGTGTGACTGGATTTTGCAGAGCTTGCTTATTTTTGGCCAATAATTGATCGCTTCATATGGGAAGTGACGGAAAGGTAGCTGGCGCCACGCCAAATTCCTTTTCACACCGACCGCTTCATCGATTTGGTTGTTAAGGACCGCAAGCAAAAAAAAATGAAAATGCGAACACTTCTGATCTTCCCGACGTCTCGCTCACCTTTGATGACCTTCGAGATAGTGACATATATTTTAGTATGCCTCTATCCGCTTTAATAGGTTTTGTTTCCTGGTAGCGTAATAGGCCAGTTATCGTGATAAGTTTTCCGTGAGCATGGAATTCCTCTCGCTCTAGCTCTTTATGCTCAGTCAGTCAGTTAATCTCCTACCCCATCTGTTTTTCCATTCCTGCAATATCAAAATCCATTCACATGCACTTGCACTTAATGCACTTGAGTGTTCTGCTGCCATGGTCAAGGAATGAACCACTCCATTTCCAAAATGTGTTCCGCGACTACCTGATAGATACAATCTCGTCCTGGTACAGGTGGTCCAGTCTCGGAATTTGTGCTATTTTCGCAGCTCCACAGTGAGTGAGTGAGTGGACTCTCGGTAGTAAATTCATTTGGTGAAGGACTGCCAGCCATCTAGAACAAAATATGTAAGCGGTCTTCGGATGCCGTATTGACACGGTATGACGTCTAGTTTTGTTCATCCTGTGTGGGAACGAATCTGGCCTTCTCTCTTCGCTTTTTCAAGCTGCTTCTAGCTGTTTCCTATACTCTCTTTGGCTCCTAGTTTCGCATGCCAACAACGCTGTGCTCCGTGTTCTTCACGATATTCCACCGAATTCTGCTTATTTCAGAGCCTTCGCCAGTTTGTTCCGCCTTTTTCTCTTTTCGCTGGAAATGGTGTCTGTGAAGCGGGCCTAGGTTCTTTGTCCACTGAGTGGAATGGCAAGGCAGAGGAGGGTCGGGGGCTAGGCGTTTCTCGTGCTGCTGCGGCCCATTAATCGTGATTGGATCCTGATAAATAAGAAGACAGTGTTTAGTCACAAGAACTTCATTGTGTCCCATTCAAGCCTCGTTCCACAAATATATCATAGCTCAGTAATGGACTGGAATAAGGAGAGGTTATGAGGAGTAACGCTAGGGCTCGAAAAAGAAACTTCCTGAAATGTTCATAGCTATCGTTTACAACCTGTGAGTAGACAAGTTCTCCTTCACCACGTTTAGAATTTAGATTTATTGCATGTGGGTCAACACATGGAGAAATGAACAATGCGTTCCTAGTAAAACGTGCTAGTGACATAAGCCTCGAAATGGCCACCACAACACTTGAGATATCAACAACAAAAAACGGTTAAAAAAAAAAAACAATACAACACAGCGAGCATAGTACAAAACTGAAAGTTAGCTTAGTGGCCTCCGATGCCGATACTAAGAGAAATAAGTAAAGAAAAAAGCCTCACTTGAAATGATGGTGCAAGAGATTTTTGAACTGAGCAACATTTTTCGGTAGCGTGGATGATTTCATCAATTTGGAAAACTGAGTGGCTGCCCTTATTGCGAAAAATTTAGTCCTCACCCTTGTTTTGCACCTGGGAACTACTAGCTTATTCTTCTCTCCCCTGGTAATTGAGTTGCGGAGGGTAAAAAAATCTTCAACCTTGAGGCTTAGCTTTCCTGTGAATATCTTGTAAACAGTAATGAGATCGAACATCTTACGTCTGTGCGAGAGTGAGTCTAGGCCCAGCATCTTGTTTCTAACTATTCCCCTAGGAATTGCATTATAATTGAAACCAAGAGCGCGAATCAAAATTTTCCTCGTGAAACTATTTTGGACTGTTTCCAGTTTTTCTGACGTTCATTATCAGTTTTCCAGAATCTACTGTACCAGGTGGTCCCATCGGTGGCCAATCAAACGTAAGCGTTAGAAATGATCACCTGTCATATTTGCTCACATGGTTAGTGCTTTCATCGTTTTTCTGATCCGTCTATTACTGTTGGTTTTTCGCTTTTATTTGATTTTTAATTCCAGGTTTTCGTTAAGTGCAGTGACGTTAGCGATGTGGTTTGTTCGTTTTAGAAAATAGTGTAAAGGTTGTTATACGATTGTTGGTTAGACATTATAGTTATCCTATATAAAAAATTACATTCTGGCGTTCTATGTCGCACATCTGGTTTCCAGCTTATACTTGTCATTTGGTGATGTTCATCTAATTATCGTCGCAGAGCAGTTTCAGTCTAGAACTTGTGAAAGTGAGGTCGCGATTCTATTTACCGGAATTTTTTTGAACCGTTGTTTGAACCTATTAGCCGATGCGCGTTACATCAGACCAGTTTTCCAGTTTAACATCGGCTGCAGCGCTTTCAACAGTGGTGTGAATGAACAAACTGAATCTTATCAATTGGTAATACTGCCAAACTGCCGCTTTTTAAGCCGTTTCTGAGTGGTACCGCTTTGACAGCTCTTGGGTAGTCCTCTTTTTTCTGAGTAAATGTCGCTAATAACTCGAGAGCTTCACTAGTACACGTTTTTTGTCAGCTGCGTTATATCCCTCGCTTGGAACACTTTCAATTCTTTTGGGTTTCCACCATTTCTTTTAGGCCGATCCGGGATACTCCGTAGTTTATTTGCAGGTGAAGCGTACTCGACTCTGTGCGCTGCATTATACAAGTGATTCTACTCCTTGGTTAACAATTGCTGATGTCAGTTTTCATGTCACATGTTTTATGAAATAATATATTGTCAGTGAATCGAGATTTTGGTACTTCATTGTTTTTAGAAGGCATCGTTCTGGAATGGCTACTTCTAACGTCTGGATAATTTTAATAGTGCTAGGGACAATTTTCCTTGAATGTCATGGGAACACGGGCGAAGCTGCTATGCCTGCTGATTGGACCGATCCCAATGACCCAACGTTGTCGCAGCGGAATCCTTTTCAAACAGGACAAATTGCTGAAGTACCCAGAGATGTGAAGGTGTGTTTTATTTTCAACATGAACGGTATATATCCTCATTATTTCTAGTTTTTCCTTTTTGAGGATTTAGCGGCAGCGGTAATGAGGAAAATATTATCCTTCTTGTGCAGTTAGAGAGAGAAAATTTTCTTCATTTCCTCCGCTATTGCAAGTGTTCAGCCTTCGCTTCACTGCACTCCAGTAACAGAGGGGAGCTAGTAATGGCAGAGGTAGCAGGATGTTGTTAACAATCCTGATAACGTCCTCTTTTCAACACGGTGAAATGAAGAATTGGCTCGGAAGTGTGTTCATTCTTCGCAAAACTGGTCGCTCTGATCGGTTCGACTGGCGCCGGTTGCTAGCTCCGCTCAGTCAGAACGATCAAATGCCAAATGTAGAACCACTCTTAGGGAGCGTTTCTATAGTTCATAAAAAAAGTCCTGGGGAGAAGTGCTACGAGATATAGAGAGAGGCTGATCCTCCCCCCCTCCCCCTCCCCCACCTCATCGCCCATTAATTCGCTCATCGCACACCTCGCATTACATCATTAAATAAATATAAGCTCTGCAATATCCCGTATTCAGTGGTCGTCCGTAGCCGACCTCCTCCTTCAAACTTCATGAGATTCTCTATTTTATTCTCTGCTTGGGAGAACGCCTTTTTAGAATCAGGCAAACTTACTCAATAAGAACTCGCTCTCGCATGTTATTCGAGGGAGTAAACATTGAACATGAAAGTAGAGCAAACATCTTTTGATCTTTTTAGGCACCCGTTGTTTACGATCCAACGTTACGGCTCATTTTGCGTCAGATGTTCAAAGAGCTTCGTGTTGATCCATTGGAGAAGACTTTCTTTTCGCGCAATGCAAAGTTAGTTTCATTCGTTTCACTGTTTATACGAACATCCCATTGATCTCTCGAATATCCAGCGTTTCAGCCTTTCCTTGGCTTTGCTTTATTGAGCTAACATTTCTGCCACAGTAGTCGTCTTCGAATGCGGTAAAGGGGTGGATCTGAAGAATCGCTTCACATGATTTGCTTCGATCCTTATAGGAACCAAGAAAGGCGACCATGTCTGAAACTCTGAGAGTAAAACTGTTGCAGTCTTGTGAGGATCTTCTTCTTCATACTCTTCAGCGTTTGTCCCGCTCTCTAGCGGGGTCCGCTCTGTAGCGGGGTCCGCTCTCCTGATTTTGTTACGCCATTTATTCCGGTCGAATGCCTGATCAGGGTGAGCACCAACTATCTTTAAATCCGCGTGCAGCGTGTCAAGCCAACGTTGCCTGGGGCGTCCTCTCGGTCGTTTGCCGAGCACCTCGAGCTGGAGACCAGTTTAGACACCAGAGTCTTGTGAGGTCTGACGGGCGCTTTTAGGCTTGCGGAAGGCATTTTACACCTTCGGTAGTTCTCTTGGTTACTTCGTAATAACTAACAGGTCTAACTTTGGTCAGACCTATAAACTCCTGTGAAACTGCGAATCTGTTCGAGTAAGCCACTTTGGTCAGGGATTCACGGGTCCTCGCAAGGTGGCCTGTACAAGCTTAATTCAGTACCATTCGATGCACCCTCAAGTCGAACTGTGCCCTTAAACCAAGCTAGTCGCTCTGGTGTTTTTGTATGTGTTTGTTACTTTGCAACTGGATCCCATGCATGGCTTAATTCAGAGTTTCTTTGTCTTCTCTGAACATGAAAGTTATTGGATCGTATCTGGAGATGGATACTCTGGAAAATGAGCTATCTATAAAGGAGCAAGTCCGAGGTGCACTACATAACATGTTTGAAGTGGCAAGTATCTTGACTATTTTTATTTCGGTTTGTTAAGCATGGTGAGTTGGCGACATTGCGTCCCACTGCTGGGACGCACCTTTTTTGCCGCGTGGGACATTGCGTCCCACTGCTGGGATGCGGCATGTGTAAAAGACCAATTTGAATACGTTTTAAATTTTTAACAGCTACATATTATAGAGGAAGGCATTGTATAATATGCAGTAGGTGTAAACAATGCAGTTGTGTCATTGAGAGTATTTTACCAAGGAGGCAAACGAAAGTGATTTCCTTAGGAAAAAAAAAGCAATTTTTGGTGATGTGGGTACGTACAGCCGGAGCTCCACAAGCAGATAGCTAATGGGATAAAGTAACTTTCGACAATAGCAGATCTGGATCGAATCCGATTTACCACCTCTGCCGCGAAATTATTCCTTTTTTGCGACCCTATTTCAGTCCCCACAATCCAGCTGCGGCCCGTGTGAATGAGGCGGGAGACCTGGTCTATCGGAAATTTCGGGTTTATCTTCGGAGATAATGGAATAGTAGCGAAGTTTTTAACTAGGCTTCTGCAACTGCAATCCTTAATCATTCTTTCCAATGGTTTGGTGGCATAAAACCCTAGGCATTTATGCGCACTCGTCAAAATAGGGAATAATATATCTGCTTTGTGGTGGGCCTCACGCGGCGTACGGAGCTTGCGAAAAGCGGTGCGCTGTCGCCAATGTAAAAATGTGCTAGCACGTGGGGGGGATGAGTGAGCGTTTTCACCTATTTCCTTATGTTCAGTATGACCGTCGGACAGCCACCATCGATTTGGCCAAGAACTGCCTCACGATGGCTCGAACCATGGCTATCTCTTAACTCAAGTCATGATATTCTCGCTCGCTGCTTTATATCTTATCCTTCTTGAAGACAATGAAGATGGGGATGGGTTTAGGTGATCAATAGAGGAGGAATGGGGGGGCGGGTGTATTCATTCTATAGGAGGTTTTGGCCCTGTTGCGGTGTAGCACGATTTCCAAATTGCAGAACTTGCAAAATCAGGGGGATGATTGGGGAGGCTGCTCATTCATGTGCTTGCGATGTTTTCTCCGGTCACCAGTGGTCAGTGCGTGAAAAACAGCTAAGTGTTCAGATCCATAGAGTGGAGAAGATCCGAGGGGGGAAAAGTCAGAAGGGCGTTAGGGCGCTAAGGCCTGCGGCCGGGGTGGAAGTACCGAGGTGTTGGGCGTGTTGTGCACTCAAGGGTGATGGAGTACACGTGGTAAAGGGGATGTGCGTGGGTGATTGAATCCTCCGGGGTGGCCGGAAGGATGTTAGTGAGCGATCTCCCCCTGAAAAGGGAATCATGGTGGTGTTTGTTTCTGATTTTTTCAAAAATACGTGGTGGTGAAGCTAGAGGCTCGTAATTGCTTAATATTCCTTATGTCCCAGCTAGCCATTGGTCGCGCAGGCCATAACGCCTTACCAATCATTCACGCTACTTATACTCCCTCTCACACACAGTGTGGCTACCGGTGCTAAATGCGAGCTCCCCGCTTTCCTCCTCTGGTGCGACCTCCTTCCTCATTCTAGCTAACTATCATCTTGAAATCTATTTGCAAATTCCTACCACTTTTTCGAAATTTTCAAAAAAATGTTCCAGATTTTCCCAAAATTTTGCCATAAAAGTCGGTTGGGGGAGAGGATACACAGCACATGCGAATTGCAGGAAAACGGGGTGGTCTTAAGCAACAAACCAGAAACGTTCTCCCCAAGAAACAGAAACCCCCGCCGCTGGGGTCCCCCCCCCCCAGCATACCAGATATAGTACCCTGTGCAGCCTTATTGCCAACGAACTGAAGGAGTGTCATACTTCATATAGGAAATGCCAACGCTTCGTTATACACCAATCACTCATTGAAGGGTGCAATTTGCATTTTCTGGCATTGCCCCGGGGCCTTAATGGACGGAAACATGACCCAAAGACCTCTACAAATTCTAAGCTATCTAAGCTACTCCACGGACAGAGAGTTGTTGACAATGACTTAATTCTTTCTACTATGATAGTATACCATATAAGTTTTGATAAGATGTTACCTTTCTGGAATTCGCAGGCTATCAACCTTCCTTTGTTATGTCTCGGGATGGTTACCACATATAACAGAATTTACCAGGTGATCCCTCCATAAGAAACACGAGTTTTGACTTTACAGGCCTTTTTTATTTTCAGGAGAAATTGGCACAGCGTATGGCGGAAGCAATAAACAGGAAGCAAGACGCATGTGCACCCAACAGTATTTTGGAACAGTCTCTTGAGTATCTTTCAAGTTTCATATTCTTCCGGAAGAAGTCACCCTGTCTCAAGTTTATTGAAGTATGTTAAGTTAACAAAAGAGTCGTACAGATCTAGTCATTCACCTAGGGATAACTTTTTTGATGTACAAAGCTGAACGCAAGAATTCTCTCTTTCAGTCCCCAGACGGTCTCTGTGGTAGCTGAAATATCGTTGATGGATGTTTTCTCCGACGTCATATCCAACAGTATATTCGGTGTTCTTGGGAATCTTGGTCGTCACACGAACCGCTTCTTTAGGGAGTTTTACGAAAACGTTCCACTACCTGCTATGTTACTAATGACCGTAACACTGGTTGGTTCATAACAATTAGCTTTGCACACTATCCTATTGGAAAAGACAACCTCTTTTCAGATTTTTGCAACCGTTCGTATTAAAACCCCCCTATTCACCTTTGAGCCGTTGCGTAAGTAATACACTAAGCAATCGAATGTATTGGGCGCATCCATTTTTCTTTTCAGTTCTCTCAACTATTCGTTATACAGCCGGAACAGTCGCTAGATGTGTTGAAGGTTCTGCAGGTGTGAACCAAAGAGCAGTGCAAGATCATCGGCGTAGAGCCATTCGAGGTCCGATGTTTTGAAACCTAATTATTAAGCAGTGGTATGTTGTCCGTAGACAGTGCTTGGAGGTACCCATCGAGGTAAAGCGCCGTAAACTTTGTTTACAGTGGCAGGGTTGGAGACGTAAGTGGTGTTCTAGATGAGTTGCCCGTAAAGAAGAAAGCAAAATAATCCGACGAGACTCTCCAAAGATGTTAAGATGCTCCTTGTTCCAAGCGAGTAGCGAAAATTCATTTGGGGATTTCGGGCGACAAACCTGACAAGAGCGCAAGACGATAGATATGACAGATACCATTGCAGGCTGAGTCTCTTGCGCTCAGGTTGAACCTCGTGGCAACCTGGCGCCTTAACGGCCCCACCTCGCAGCTTTCTGATGCCGAACTCGTTCAAACTGTTATGCGGTCCACACTACATTTCCCTTCGCAGCACTTCGATTTCCTTTAGTGATCGCGCATTGTGCCTTTAGAAGTGCAAACAAGGCTTTGCTTTTCTAAATGATCTCAACAAATTCATAGATTTTTTTCCATTGCAACATCCAGTGTTTGTTGACTCATTGTGTGATTTTCAGAGGACGGCGTAGCGGCTTCAGAAAACAACAGGGACTCTAGGTATGTCATGTTGATCTACTTGAACTTGAGCTTAACTGCTATAGTCACGTCAACCTTCTGTTTTCCTCTGCGCTCTCACGTTTAACTACTCTAGACTACGTTTATTTCACTCCGGCGTCCACTCCCCTTGAAGAAGCTCATTGCTTGGCTTGCGACATCCTTCCATGCCTTGCTTGAACCTTATGACGCCTTGGCACCACCGCCATCTACTTTTCTCGATAGGACGCGCAAAAGTTCTGATTGTCGCGTAGTCATGTTCTTGCTGACTATATCCTTCACAACTAGCCTTGTACTGTCAGCCCTCCAATTTTTGATAATCCAGCTGCGACTAACTCCTTCATTGAAACTGACAGATTCGAAGCAGTTCACATCGTGGTTGGAAGAAATTCCATCGTACCTGCTCGTTGTTTATTGGGCGAGAGGAGGGGATGTATCTAGCCATACTTAACCAGTTTTGAGCCGGATTTCTATCGACATTGTTCATGGAG